GGGCGGGCGATGGCGGCGGTGGCGGCGTCGGCTGCAAACACCTCGCGAGGTCGGGCTGAAGCTGCCGGCGACCCGACGCGGCGCCCTGCGGTTCGGCGCCTCCCTTATTGCTTTAAACTTTAAACTGCGTGCGGAGCCGCGGCGGCGGCGGAGGCAGAGCGCTCGTTACCCGTGCGGGAAAGCGTAACCGGATCGCCCGTGCCCGCCACCCGCCGCCCTCGACGCCTCCGCGTCGCGCGGAAACGCGGCCGCTGAGGGCGTGCGTCTGGGCCGGGATGGCCTCGCTACGAGAACGCATTGCGAAGAAGTGGCTTCTGGCGACTGCTTGTACTTGTGGGTTTTTCCAACGTTAGCAAGTGCTCGTTGGTTGTTATGGAACAATTTCGGGTTTGATGAAAACGACTCAATCACCATTTTTTAAACTATTAAAAATAATATTCTGTCTCCTTTTAATTATCTTTCAACTATTAAACAGTATCCAGAAAAAAATCACTGTGTGGTTTTGTCTGTCCCCTAATTTCACTAATGGGTATTTAATGTTTGTGATTATCAGCACACTATTCATGAGGTTTGCTTATCTTCAGAATTACGGTTAATAAACTTCGTTTCAAACATCAACTAACTTGATTAAATGCTACTTAACACACCAAAATAGCTTTTACTAAATTAAAAATAAGTTTAATTGATAACCGCGTGATGTTTAAAGAGTGTTACAATTAAGAGTTATTTTAATTAAATTGTAATAGAAAATAGACGACTTCGAAGTGTACTTTTTTCACGACCTCCAATTAACTGCCTGGCACGATTGAAAAGCAAGTGTAAAACATCAAATTTATAATAGTATTTAATGTTATAGTGCCATATGTACAATACAACTTTCGAAAGAAGTTTCTTAAGGATTCAAGAATCAATCGTGCGTTCTATCTGTGGGGGCAGTGAATTCTGGAGGATCTGCTGCCCGCTGCACGCCGCCCCTGCACACGGGCGCTTCACTGTCAACATGACGTCATGCTCCTCTGCCAACAGACTCTGCCGCCGTCACCACCACTGCCTCCGTCGCGGCCCGACCCACCGACTCGGCGCGGCGCGGCACTTGGTAAATAAATGATGGAGAGCACCCTAGCAGAAACGCAGGATCAATAGCAACAGCCTTAGCTGTTGACGCGGCCGCTCGGGCGGTTGCGGGGATGGGAGAGCGGGCGACCCAAGGCGGCAGCAGGGCGAGCGATCTGGCTTTTGGTGGATTGCCACCGAACAGCTGAGGATTTTCCAGGATGCGTTATGAAAAAGTGGTGTTCAAAAGTGAATAAGAACATCGACGCTTGACAGACATACTTGTCAATCTATTAAGGAAATTTCTCAAATATTAGGTTGTTGACGTATGTGATAACGTAGTTAAGAATGTGCGAGAGTTAGTTGTAAATTATTGATGAAGTTGTGACGCTGAAAAGAACGTTAAAAAGCTGTTGATCACAGTGAAAACAGAATATAAAACCTGGTTTTTAAAATTAAATATGATGTATACTGAGTATTAAAAATACAAATTATCTGATAAATCAAGCGAATTTAAAAAATCTTGAATTCTCAAATTTTAAAATTCTTTTCCTATTTTCCCAAATTTTGCCAGAAGATATTCTATTTTTTCTTTTTTTAACGATAAGTAATTAATGGAAATTTTCAGTTTTTGCATGAACTTAAATTCGAGCCCGTACATTAATAAATTCAATGCTGTAATATTCAAGTTACAAACGGAAACGGAAGATATTGAGCGAAAACATATCATCCGAATCGGCCATAAAACCCCAATCGATGTTGCCACATGCATTCTTCCGGAACCCAATACACTTTTTACCCAGGGCTCCCTAGGGGAGATTCCTCGCACACATCGCACCGCAACAGCTTCGTCAAACCCGGCGCGAAGACAAATCCGCGCGTCTATCTGCGCGTTCCGCTTCGCGCTTAATTGCGCCGCGGCGGCAAACCGCGCGGCTCGCGCGGGAACCGCCCGTCTCTCGGCGTATGTCGCCGCCGCGTCCCCCAATTATCGGCACAATGGCGCTTAATTTTGAAAGAGAGCGAGCGCACAATCGTCGGCCGCGCAACAAACACGGCGGCGCCGAATCCGCCGCGAGACGAGGGGAGGGCGACGGCGAAGGCTACGGCGGAGCGGTGTCGGCGGCAGAACGCCCCGCCCACAAAGTGTCACGCTGGCTTACGACGAAGGCGGCTCGGTGGCAACCACAACCGCCTTTGCCCACCCACGCCCTCGCCCGGCGGTAATCATCTTTTGTTCTCATCTTCGTCGCGCTTTGCGCCCCACCCCTGTCCCGCCGTCCCCACCGGCTGCCTCCTGCACCGTCTCTTCCTCACCTCCTCTCACCACCGTCCCTGCGGCACTCCCTCGCGCCGCCGTCGTGCCAGCGCAGTCTTTGATTCCCGCCGATAATCGCATTGTGACTGCTCCGCATCACGGGCGATGGATACGTATTATTACGCTAATCCAGCGAGCAGACATCGGAGCCGTTTTACTGGCGCTCCCGCACACCCTCACACCCCTTGCGCGCCACGCCGCCCCGCCACTCCTCCCGCGCGTGAGCAGGCGGCCCTCCTAGACAAGTTGTAATGTACCCAACAACACAGACGCCGCCACCGCGGCGGCGCCACTCCACCCCTCTCGCTCCGCCCCCCCTCTCCCCCTCCCTCGCCCGCGCCGCCGCCGCCCGCGCGAGCGCGAGTCCCCTGCGAGCGAACGCGGCACCACGATAATGCGGCGGAATATTGAAAACACAAGAGTGATCCCCAGCCCGAAACGAATAACATTACAACTTTACAAATGATATTATTTTACAAAGCTTCATCCAAACTCGGCTGGCAGCCAGCTAGCCATGCCGTGAGCACGCCGCTGTCGATTTTCATAACAAAGCTGGCACACAGAGAGTGAGTGCTGCATTCCCAAAGGAGCCGTCTGTTCAAATGGCATTATCAGACTTATTACAGTACGCTCGCTGCCCCGCACAACAGGCTGCGGCTTCCGCGCGCGCCACCTGACGGAAGGCGGGACTGGCGCCGCCGCTCAACACGCGCGCTTCCGCGACGCCGCCCAGTGAGACATATTGCCTTGCGATTGCCTTTTCTCGAAGCTAATAGTGGGCGTTCTTAATTCTCTCTTTTCTTATTATTTTTATAGGAGTTGAAAGCATTACTTTTGAAGTGAAAATGCCGTTTACTGAAATTAGCCTCGTCAAAGTTTATATTCTCGGGTTCATGAAAGCAAACGCGGTTTATGAAATAACATTCGAGATACGCAATTGTGTCGCCCAAATATCAAATGAGAGTTTCCACAAAAAAACCCTTTTATTCTTTGGCCCCACGTCATTCTGGCCAACGCGCAGCAGGTGGCGATTATGACGCGCCCCGACCGCACCCCGAGCGCGCGCGCGCGCGCACTTTTCTTTGTTTGCGACAACACAATCGTTTACCGTTCAGAAAACTGCCCGAATAAGATGAATTTGCCACCAGCGCCGCGCACAAAGGTCGCGCGCGCGCTGCGCATTGGAGCGATCCTTCGGCCGCGCGCGCACAATGCGCCTCTCGAGCCTCGATTGGCATTTAATTCCGTCGTTTATAAACAGCGCCGCATTCTTCAGGCGGCGTAATGGCCCGGGGGGTGCATTTCAAAACGCGGCGCGGGCGCAGCGCGGGGGTACGTGTGCGCGCGGGCGGGTGATACGGCCAGAGGAAAAGAGGGCGAGAGGGCGAGAGGGCGAGAGGGCGCAATTTGAGGCGACGATGCGACCGAGGCCGAGAGGCCTGAAGTAGGACCAGTGAGGAAAAAGGTGTGGGGCAGCGCACCCATAGCGACTAAGATATGGGGAGTAGAGCAGAGAGGGCGGGGTGTGAGAGGGCGATTAAGGCCTGAAAGAGTGAGCGGGTTTGTTGCGAAGACGGACGGGCGAGGGCGCGCTAACGCGGCGGCGTTGACACCGCGAGAATGGCGACGATAGGCGTGGCAGGGGAAGCGGTGAAAGGCGGCGAGGTTTAAGCGGCGGTGACTGTGGGCGGAAGGGCGAGAGGGCGGGCGGGTGAAAGGGCGAAAGATGGCGTGCGTGCGTGTGGGCGGGCGAGTGGAAGGACGAGAGGGCAAGCGGGAGAGAGGGTGAGAGGGCGGGCCGGCGATCGCGAGACTAGCAAGAGGGTTGAGCGGCTGACCCATCTG